TTCCGAGTGATTGTTTGCTTGGGGTCTTTGGCTACCTGGTATTGTCATCATGGTTGGTGGCTTCTGCCCCTCCCTGTACTGTAGTGTAGTTCTGCGGTTGGATCTGCTTGAGGTCTTTTTGGTACTATAATGTAATATAGGGGCCTTAATAATTAGAATAGGGTTGTGGGGCCCCATATACTATACTTTTAGTAAGGAACCCCAAAATAATATAGGTAATTATTTAGGCCCCAATAGTATCATCTCCTCCCCCTGGTATGGCTCGGCTGCTTGAACTTTCGGTATTATCATCATGGTTGTTCACTCCACTGGTTCACTCCACACATAGCGGCAGCGGATCGCAGGAGGAGGGCTACCGGCCGGACACCACTGGGCAAAGCAGCGCCAGGCACATGCAGTGCACTTGAGGGGTTATTTACATTATTTAAATTATTTACATTATTTAAATTATGTAAATTATCTAACATAAACTAACCTTAAACCCTAAACCCTCAACTTATGACGATGAGCCTTTGGCCCAAAAACTTTTACAACAGCAAGACTGTCCGTGAATCGCAGGCGACAGACCGACCTAGCCCATATTTGACAGAAAGGACAGCATGTGTGGAAGATGCCACGGATTCCCGGTTTGCAGTGACAACCGCGCGACAATTGTAAATTATGACTATTACACAATCTCTTACAATCACAGCAGCAGTAGAATAATCACGGTGGTGCTGGTGGTGCTGCTGCTGTTGCTGCTGGCACTGTCTGCGCTGATCGTGCTGGTGGTGCCGGAGCGGTAGTGCATCGTCGTCGTCGTCGTAGTCGTGGCGCAACAGCAGCAGCAGCAGCAGAAGCCGTCGGCAACAGCTGGAGCAGCAGCAGCTGCTGGCATAGCTGCCGGCCTGTGACACTCCAACCTATCGATGCTTTGATTGTTTCCGACCTAGACAGCTCTGGAAGGATTCTCCAGTCGCCGAGACAGGGCATCGACTTCTTCGTGCGCAAGCATTGTGGCAGGCAGAATTTGTGCCGTCGTCATATACCGTGGCCCAAGTTGCGCAAAGCCCGCTCTATAGCAGTAACAGTAACACTGAGCAGGCAGAATTGTGTCGTCATATACCCTGGTTGGGCGTAGTCCGGTCTATGGCAGTTAACCGTAACACGGATGCACCACATGCACTTCGGAAGATCCAATGTAGCTTTCGGATCAGCATCGAGAAAAGAAGCATTCCTCATTGTAGGACCTTGGGTCATCAAAGGGACTGATCAAGAGGATAGCCAGTGTCCGTACGGAAGGTGGCGAGATGAAGCTTGGCGGTAAGGTGGATGTTGCATTAATTCTCCGGAGCACCAAGTCGTACCAGGTTCGATTGCCACACTCGGCTGCAAGCGAGCGAGAACAGCAGCGGAGCGGCGACAGGCCGCGTCATATCGAGTCCAGGTTGCATAGCTTTTGGAAGTCCTCGTAGATATCCGGATAAACCCAAGCCCTAAACCCATAGGTACCCAGATAGCCATGTACCTGAACGCTCCACCCTAAAAGCCCTCTGCCAGGCTGACAGATAATCGATATCCCGACTCCCTATTCCTGTAAACATGAAACAATTGAAGCCATGCCTTAGGGTTTAAGGTTTAGGATTTAGGGTTTAGAGTTTTTGGGTTTCGGGGCCCGTAGAGCTCGTGCAAGTAGCCAGGGGTTGATGCAGGTTGTTTGACGGTAATATCGGGGCCTCAAATAGTAACCTATTCTATTTTGGGGGTTCCTTTTTGTAATTGTAGTTTAATGCGCCCCGAAACCGTATTTTAAGTATTAAGGCCCCTCTTAGTTTGGTTCTAGCGCCAATCGCCTTCCTGGCTATGAGGTGCTTAACATGGGAGGAACCTTGGAATGAAAAGGCTCCGCGAGATTACTGCCCCCTTTAGGAGGTCGTAGGGGGCTCCATGTTGAGGCGAAGATGAATCAGAATTCAACTCGTAGGATCCCTTCTACGTCCCGTGTCACAGGTCGCAAGACATGGAGGTTTGCCAGCGTTTCATCGCGTTGGGAACCGCTATGTAAGCCGTAAACTCTTGTACTTGGAGGGTCGGGGGACTTAGTAAGTAGGTAGTAAGTAGACTTATCAGTACCCTCAAAGGGACCCTAATTGGGGTTATGGTACTTATAAGTCCCTAAAATAACCAGTTACTAAGTCCCCCGACCCTCCAAGTAATGCCTCAACTCAGAGCATCCTTTGCGGAGGCAGATCGAGACGACGAGAGCTGGCGACCCAATGTAAGAGTTTAGGGTTAAAGGTGTAGAGTGGTATGGAGGCCTCATTAATCGGAATGGGGTTCTGATGGGTTTGGGGACGTATTGCCGTATACTTGTTAAGGTGGAACCCTCAAGAACACTAGGTACATATGTCCAAACTGTGTTTTTTGGTGTGGGGAGGGCAGGGTGCGAAGCGGAAGGGTTTAGGGTCAGCAGCTTGCGTGTTCTGAGACTTGTTGCTCTTCAAGGCTTTCCATGTCTCGTAGTGTTGCATAGAGTTGCACAGACGGGGCTGTGAGTTAAGTGGAGAAGCGGTTGCAAGGCGTGTGGAGTATGGTCGAATAGAGTTTCGAGGTTCATGATTCAGGCTGTGTTGTGTTGTTTGCTTTTTGCTGTTGTCGTCGACGTTGGTGTAGTCGTTGTTCTTGCTGTCGCGAGGATACCCCTCAAGCAATCGAAAGGATGAACCTTATAGTAGCCCATAAACAATAAGCAGCCTCTGTCCAAAAGCATGACCAGGGTGCTTGTCAATCGAGTCCTTGTGCATCGCGAGTCGGCTTCGCAGGTTGCATCGGGAGATTCCAATTACACCTGATGTTGTTATTGTTAACCCCATTCCAATGTAGGGCCTTTCAGCAGCAGAAACTGGGTTTCACAGAAAGTGGCATCCAAATATTGACTCGATACCTATAGTCTCCATTGTAATTCCTTCGTTTGGTTATAACGTAACCAAAATCTCTATTAAATATATTATAGGATCCTAACCATAAAATTGGATAACCAAAAAAAGGAACTGCAATGGAGACCATAGGTAGGACCCTTAGGCTGATCCTCATCGTAAGGGTCCTTCCAGCAGGTTTTCCCCCGGACGAATTGCTTTCTCCAAAGCCCTACGTTGCTCTCTTGATCACAGTCGAGGTCTTACAGCGGAGATGGAGAGCAGATTGGCGCAGATTCAGGCCTCCTACATCCTAGAACACAACCCTAAACCTTAGAAGCAGCTCCCACCCTGTAAGAGTGACTATAAGGATGATATTAGGGCCCTATTGTATGGGGGCCCTTCTAATCTGAACGTAAAACTCAACAAGGTTTAGCCCGAGGGCCCAGGGGCTTGAGATATGGGAGTTGCCGAAAATTCGGGGTACCTATCTTGGGGTCCTTTTAATCAGGATCCTAGTATTTGGGGTACTATATCACGGTCCCCTATGTTCGGAAACTCCCTTATATAGAATTTTCAGAGATTGTGGGTTTAGTGTTTTAATACTGTTTTCGAGTGTTCATGCTTCGTGTCCGGAACTGCAATACCGCAGCTTGCAATATCAGAACTCTGACTCGCGATGAAGCAACAACTCTACGGTGTACCCGAACCCCTGAGCCAATGCTGGCATGCTGCTTTCTGGTCTTCCATGGTTACATACCCTGATACACAGAAGAACGGGCTCACGGTCATGGTGCCGGGGTTTTTAGACCCCACAACCCTCTAATATACCCAGAATACCCACGATTAAAGGCCACAAAGGGCTCCATGAAAGGGACCTTGCAGGGTCCTGGTTAGATTTTAGTTTTAGGGTTTACCCTAAGTCTCCTGGACCCTCGTAGTGAGATCCCAAACCTTAGTCCCCAAAGCCCAAACCCTCCCCTAGAAAGCCCATGACCCCTTTTGGAGCATTAGGGTTTAGGGCCCTGTTGGTGAAAGCCAAGCCCCAAGACTCCAAGTAGCCCAAAGTATGTAGTATTTCTAGACTTTAGACCCTAAACCCCTAAACCCTAAACCCCAAAACCCTAAACCCTAAACCCCTAAACTTTTTGAGCATTCGGGTATAGGGCCCTGTTGGTGAAAGCCAAGCTCCCAAACCCAAACATCATCCGCGAGGCCGCCATTCGCCGGGGCGAGGCCCGGCCCAGAACGTCACAGTATATAGGGGCCTTACCTGGAGGGTTTAGGGTTTAGGGTTAAATAAAATAGTAGCTTTTATAGGTTTTGGGCCATCATTTTACCTACTTTGGGGGGTTGTAGTCCCCTCACATTTGGCTCAGTAGTTAGTGTAGGATTTTGGTGCCCATTATGCTATAGTTATATAAAGGAACCCCCGAAACAGTACAGGTAATTATTAAGCCCCCATATTCCTGTATAGGTATTACCGTGGGATTCGTGGTTTGGGGTTCTGCGATGCCGGGAATGCAGCTTGTTGGGGAGTGTGGTTCAGAATGGGTCTTTGCTTCAGGGTTGACCGAGCTTGAGAGGATATTGGGGCCACCTGTGATTACCTGTGTCAGATACCTCCTGAATGCGACTGACTTGACCTATCTTCCGGACTACGTAAGCCCAACCGCCCCAACAAACCTGGTACAGGGGTCTGAGTACCCAGACCTTCCAAAATCCCTTAATTAAGGATTATACCTTAAATCATATTAGGGATCCTACTATGATTTAAGGTATATTCCTTAATTAAGGGATTTTGGAAGGTCTGGGTAAGTAGTGACAGTATCCCTCTATAGTCCATATAGGCTGATATACTATACCAGAACCCTGCTCGGATCATTCAGTGCCCTATACTAAGCCCTGATAGAAGCTGCAACCTTAGTTCCACCACCGAAACTGAAAACCTGCCTGAGGGAGCTAGAAACTCTCAGATTGTTCAGAGCTCGATACTGGGAGTTGATGCTATAGGGTAAAAATGATACACACCGTATATTACATATACACATACGATCGCCCTAAGTTTTGGATATCGTCAGCCCCGACACCATGAATGCGTTTCAGGAGAGAGCTTCGCGAGAGCCGGACAACGAGGTCAGTGCACTTTGCAATGTTGTGAAGGATGAGTCACAGTTGAGGGTTCAGGCTTTAGGAGTTACGGTTTCGAGTGAAGGGTTTAGAGTTTCATATAGGGCCCTGAACCCTAAACCCTCAACCCTCAACCCTAAACCCTAAACCCTAGACCCTAAACCCCTAAACCCTAAACCCCTAAACCCCTAAACCCCTAAACCCTAAACTCTAAACCCCTAAACCCTAAACCCCTAAACCCCTAAACTCTAAACCCTAAACCCTAAACTCTAAACCCTAAACTCTAAACCCCTAAACCCTAAACCCCTAAACCCCTAAACCGTGAGATTTGTCTAGATTCGGCCCTAGAGCCCAGGAGCCGAAATCAGAACCACTCAGGCCCAGAACTACGGTTTTAGGGGTTTAGGGGTTTAGGGGTTTAGGGGTTTAGGGGTTTAGGGTTTAGGGGTTTAGGCTTTAGGGGCTTAGGGTTTAGGCTTTAGGGTTTAGGCTTTAGGGGTTTAGGGTTTAGGGTTTAGGGTTTAGGCTTTAGGGGTTTAGGGTTTAGGCTTTAGGGGTTTAGGGTTTAGGGGTTTAGGGGTTTAGGGTTTAGGGGTTTAGGGTTTAGGGGCACTTTGAGAAACGTTCTAGTTGCCCTTCTGGTTTCTATGGAGGTACCTGCGCCTATTCATAAATAGTTTTAAAGGCCCCGAACTACAGCCCAGAGAAAGTTGAAACCTTCCTTGCCGATCTTCTTTCACTCTGTGCGTTTGTCTTCCCAGGTTTGTATCCTAAGCCCCCCAAACCTCCAGCAGTATACCCGAACCCTCCCTATCATCCTAAACTAACATGCATAAAACAAAAGCCATCTGCGAGCATAATTTTCGCCGCAATCCTAGCTGTGTGCCTATGTAGCAAATACTTCTTCGGCGCGAAAGGGGCTTGTATTCAAGTAACTTTGGGGCCTTGCGGTCAAGGTATATACGTTGTGGGGTACTCAGACCATGATAGAACCATCAGCCCCCTCCCCCTTCCAAACAAACACCAGTTTATGGTTTCGGGTTGCAGGTTGAAGTAAGGTTGGGTTTTATGCCAGGGTGCCACTGGATACGGCAATTAGGGGTTTTATACGGGTTGCCTTAATACAGAAACACCGTCCACTTTTAGAGGCCCTCAGTAATGTTTTCCGTATGTGCCTGGGAACCCTTTTCAACTTTGAACCCTCAGCTCTAACCCTAAATCCTAAACCCTGAACCTTAAACCCTACACCCTAAACCCTAAACTAACCCTCTAACCCTCCAACAACCAACCCCTAAGCCAACCCGGAAACTCTGGCATTGCAGATCCTTGAAGCCTGGACCTTAAGCCCTTATACCGTGAAACATCAAATCTCAAAACACGAGATTCATCGAATCCTTCTAGACCCATCAAAAGAACCCTGAACTGTAGATCCTTTCTGCCTGAACATTTGCACGGGTGTATATCATAAAGGTGCAGACTTAATCAGCAGGAGCGTAACTTGGACATCCCTAAAACCTAGGTCCTAAACCCCAAAACCTCTTTCAAGGTTTCAAGATTTTGGGATCGGGGTTAAGGGCTTGACGTGTTTAGGGTTCCGGGTCTTTTGGATTTAGGCGGTTAGTAATTGTTGCGTTTTTTGCAAACGGGGGGTATGTGAAACTAGAGGAACCCAGACCTTCCAAAATCCCTTAAGTAAGGAATATACCTTAAACCATATTAGGGATCCTACAATGATTTAAGGTATATTCCTTAATTAAGGGATTTTGGAAGGCCTGGGGAGGACCATGCCTTCGGACCCTGCCTTCCGCTTGCATCATGATAGGGGCTGAAACAGAAAGGTTGACTTCAAACGAAGGGGAGAAGGAGGGACCCTTAATGGGGACCCCTACCCTATAATGGGCTATATAATGGGTATAATATAATAGCTATATTAAGGCCTAAACTCTAAATTTTGGGTTTGGGGTCCCCACCCTAACCCTCTCAGCACGCAGCTCGGAAAGCCCCGACCAGGAGGCGCCTCGCCAGATGACTCCGGAGGCTGCTTTGGGTTTTAGCCTGATAGGGTTTATAGGGTTTGGGGGTTTAGGGTTTAATTAGGGTATAGTAGGTTTTTGTTTAAAGATTCTTTTAGGGTTTAGAGCTCGGGGTTCTGGTTAGGCATTGTTCTGATGTTTTCTGCCACGGGCTCTTTTTGGGTTTAAGATTTCTGGTCAAGTACACTTCTACGTTTGCTGTGCTATGCAGGCTCACGATTTGTTTTGCAAGTGCATAGGGGTCTTCTCACATCATGCGGGTTGCCATGAGAGTTTCTGCGCTGGTTGCTGCAAGAGTTCCATGGTATTAGAGGGTTGTGGGTTTTGGGCGTTTCAAGTCGTCCAAGGTTTCATCCCAGACCTTCCAAAATCCCTTAATTAAGGAATATACCTTAAATCATAGTAGGATCCCTAATATGATTTAAGGTAGAATCCTTAATTAAGGGATTTCGGAAGGTCTGGGATTTTGGGGCTAGGGGAGCAGCCCAGTGATTCTCGGCCCGAGCGCCGGCGCCGAGATGCCTGATAGTATATGAAGCAAAGTCTGCATACCCAGAGAGTCCATGTATATACTAGCATTGCGGACGTAGCTCCTTAAACACCCATAATAACTGTCTTTTCGTATGAACTCTCTGGGATACTTAGTCACAGTAGCTCTCAGGGTTTCCCATGTATTGTAGTATGACATACCCCAAGTTGTCTTCTAACTCTTCCGGCCCCTTCATGAGGCCATCAGGCTTTCGGCGTGTAACTATGCGGCGCTTTGTGCCTTGCGGTATCGTGGGGGTCTTCAGGGTTCAGGATGTTTTTGAACAGTTGAGTTTAGGGGTATAGACCTCCATACCTACAACGTCCCGGCTAAACCTGTCGAACCTGCGTCCGTGCAAGGGGCGCCGCCAAACGAATTATGCAAACCCTTGCAGGATGTGTTTGTCATAGGGATCCTTAGGGGTGTAGGGGGAGGGGGGTAGGGGGCCTTAAGGCCCATAATAAAGACTAATAAGGCCTATTTAAGGAAATATAGTCCCCTACACCCCTCCCCCCTACACCCCTAAGGATCCCTATGAGTTTGGTCGAAAGCATTATACAAGCCCTCTGCGAAGCCCTAAACTTGAACCTCCTAAACCAATGGATCGTTTTACAGAAACCTCTAAACATAATGGAACCAGACCACAGAGCCCTGTGCAAACACCCCTTAAATCCTGTATAGCATCCGAAACCCATACACCCTAAACCCTTAAGCCCTAAACCCTTAAACCCTAAACCCTTAAACCCGAAATTTCTGAAACCCTAACCCCTAACCGTTAAACCCTAAACCCTTAAATTCCCAAGCCCGTCGATCCCGAGTCGGCAAAGGAGGAGCAGCTTCTCGAAAAGCTCTTCGTCCGCCCTGAGGACTTAGAAGAGCGCGGGGCTCGGGCTTCTGAATGTTTTTTTTCCAAAGGGTCCTAAGTACCTATATAGTAGAATGTGACAGAATGTGGGGGTTCTATATAAGGAATTTTTATTCTGATTTGGGGGCAGTATTCCCCATAACACTAGCTAGGACCCTTGGGGTTTGTGGTTGTGCAATTGTGTGTGTGTGTGTGTGGCTTGAGGGTTGAGGCTTAGGGTTTCAGGATAAAGTGGTGCACATGGGAACAAACGCAGTGTTTTATTTTGGTGTCGATGGGCTCTACAAAAGGCTCTCTGGCTCTCTGGGCCACGAATACCCCACAGTATAGCGCATGTAGAAAGAAGCACATTTCGGATTTCGGACTCAGGGTTTTTGAGAGCCTCGATGTGGCTCGAGGTCCCGCTTTCAAGAATTGCGAGGGTCATTGGGTCATAAGGTTGGGAGTGTAGCAGATCTATAGGGTTTAGGGTCTTGGGATTTAGGATTTGCATCTGCAGACAGGAAGCCGTGCTTCGTGTTTTCCGGGTTAAGCTTTTTGGGTGTTCGGTTTTGTTTCGGATTTTACTGCCGAGGACCCGTGGATGCCACTGCAAATCCCGGTGTCGGGTTTAGGGGCTTCGGGTTTGGGGGTTTTGAGGGTTTAGGGTCACCTTATGGGTTGAGGGTTTATGGGGGTTGGGTTGTGGAGGGTCTGGGTTTTTGGGTTTGCAGGATTTAGGGTTTTGGGTTTAGGGGTTCATTTAGGGTTTCCTTTTTGTGTTTGATTTTCCTGGCCCTTGTGGCACCTGCCTTCTTGTCTTCAGGGTTCTGGCAAAAAGGTCGGAAGCATTGCTAAAACTATTCCCTTGGGTTTCGTAATAGTCTTAGATTTATAAACGCAAAACCCAAAACAGCATTTCAATTATTAAAGCCTCTATATTGGGGATCTATCCCGTTGTATTCCGTGGATACGGACCATTTCTACACGAGAAGGTCGACTCTGTCGGGTGCAGGTAGGGTTCACTAAGCAGGGGTCCTGCAAACACACATCCGAGTTAAGAGTCCGTAGTATTAGGATGCCGGAACCCCTAGATCCAGAAGTTTAACCCCCGACATGCAAACGTCAGTGCACCTTTATAGGGACCCCGGAACCTCGAAACCCCTGAACCGCGAAACCCCTAGCTCTAAAACCCCTAAAACCCGCAAAACCCTGCCACAAGGTGACACTTTGTAGTGAACTTTGTTGGCGCCTCTTAGTGACGCTTAACACATCCCTTCAAGGAGTCCAAAACCCTACCTTTCGCACCGCAGGGCCTATGACGCCTCACCGGAAGAGCCGCCAGCGCCGGCGGATGAGGCGCCTCCGGGGTGATACCCCAAGCACAGAGACCTCGAAAGTAGGGATATCATAGTTTTTCTTGGTAAGGCTTCATCGGTTATGGCTCATTTGTGTAAGGGTTGCTCTTTCTGATTGTTAACATGCTATACAGTTGTTTTAAAGGTCGTGTATGGGAGGGTGCTATAGGGTTTGTAGGGCTTCTATAGACTTTGGCTTTGTTAGTACTTAAATCGCCAGGTGGTACCCTTATACCCTTTTCATGCTGGGTCTCCCTATGAAGACTGAGAAGTAGCAACGGCGTTGTCTGCAAGGAGGTTCGGGGGAACCAGACACGGGAGAGCACCAAATTGGAGAACTACCCAAGTGGGAGTTTCCAAAAAATGAGGGGTACCTGATTTGGGGGTCCTTATAATGAGGATCCTACTATTTAGGGTACCATATCAGGGTCCCCTATTTTCGGAAACTCCCAAGTAATCAAGCAGTTACACAGTCAGTGTAATGTTTGGTGCAAAGACTGAACTAACAAGGACGAGGGGCTATTCTTTCGGCATGCCTAGATGGAAACCCTAAACCCCAAGCACTAAGCCGTCTGCTATGCAGGAACGAGAAGACCCACACACGGTCCGAATTCGCAGCCAGGATCGCATGAAGTTAGCAAGGTAGGGCTTTGTTAGTGATTTCGGCGGTAGCATCCAAAAGGGCTCAGTATGGATGTCTGAAAAAAGCTAGAACCGGTGTGTATAGTTGGTTCTTTCTGGATTTGATAGGTCATATGGTTTTGGGTGTATTATTTAATATAGAGGCCTTAACTCTTAGAATGCCTTGTTCTTTCGCTGGAGGTCACTGGAGATCCTCTTTATACAGGGACCTTACAAAGGGGATAATCATACGTACTACTATAGCGGCCTCAACAGTCACCAATACCATTCTGGGGTTTAGGGTTTAGGGTTTAGGATTTAGGGTTTAGGGGTTCAGTACTATATTTATAGTATAATCGGCCCCCAAACCCGCTTCTAATTATTAAGATCCCCAGAGGGGTGGTTGTCGAAATTGTGGTCCTTTCTGGGTACCCTAAATATTAGGTGCCGTATTATATTAAGGACCCAGAAAGACCCTAATTTTGACAACCCCCCATATTACCTTCGCAGACCTCTACATCAAGGCTACAGCCAAGCTGACACGATTTGGGAGTTTCCGAAAATAGGGGACCCTAGTATAGTATGAATAGTAGGATCCTTTTTGTAAGGACCCCAAAATAAGGTACCCCTTTCGGAAATTCCCATTTAGGTGAGAAATGGCTAAGAAGGGACCTGAAGCCTATAATTATCCTAAGGACTGGGCAGGGCACAGGGGGGCAGGACTAAAACTGCCCTAAATTTACCAAACCCATCTGCATTAGGTTTTGCACCCTCAGGAAGCCTGAAGTACCTATAGTCTCCATTGTAGTTCCTTTTTTCGGGTTTAACCAGTTATATATTAAGGATCCTAAAAGGTAACCCCCAAAAGGAACTACAATGGAGACTACAGGTAGAGCCTGAAAGTTGGATCCTTACTTTTCTCATTTCTTTGGGGGAGGGTTAGCTTAGTAATAGAGTAGGTGACCTTTAACCTTTTTTGGGTAGGATAGTCCCTATATAATCCCTATATAGCCAAAAAGTTTAACCTTTAGTTCCCCATGATACCCGACAAGTAGGTTAGCTTATGGGGACACCGAGCAAGAACCATTCCCAAGTCATGATCGATACGACAATGTAGAGGTCTGAAATCTAGTTATATTCCCCACTTATAGTCCCTACTAGTAGCATTCCCTCTGCCTCCTTAGGGCCCTAGACTCCTGAAGGACCCAATAATAAGGTTCCTGGAAGCCTTGGGATTAGTGTCATATCCCAGCAAAACGATCCCGACCTCCAAGCCCCTATTGCTCTTAAGCCCTGAGCGCTGAACCCCCCAAAGTCCTAAAGGTCCGTCAACCCTGAAATCCCTCGGAAACGAGAGCTTCTGAAAAAAATGATAATCTCAAGATGCTCCAATCTGGGCGCCAATTTGCAGGATCAAATCTGTCTAAGACTCTTACGGAACTCTAAACCCTAAAAGCCCTAAACCCTACATCCCCAGCCTCAAGAACCTAAACCGTAAACCTTAAACCCTAGACAACCCCCATTTTCAAGACGCCGCCAAGTGCATGCAAGGCAAGACTGTGGAGTCGGGTGCTGAGCAGGACATGGGAGATCGTTCTCTCGGAGATTGTTTGGCAATTTTCGTGGGGGGTTACAGTACCACAATATAGTATCCCTGAAAGTATCCCCTTATGGTACCCCTTATAGTACTGTACCATAGTATAGTAAACCCTAATGCTCCAAAAGGGGTCATGGGCTTTCTAGGGGAGGGTTTGGGCTTTGGGGACTAAGGTTTGGGATCTCACTACGAGGGTCCATGAGCCTTAGGGTATACCCTATAATTATAGGAAAGGCCTTTGGCAACTGTTTCAAGGGGTTATGCCCTAGAATTAGAAGAAGGCATCCTTAGCCCATTTTGTAGGGTTTGGGGTGACCTGTACAGGTGTTGAGGCGTTCCGTTTGGGGTTTAGGCCTTAGGGAATGCTTTTGGATTCGGCAAGCTTCACTGATTTAATGCTGGCATCTGTTCCAACAGAATCACGGAAAGGTACGCTGTGCCTCCCTGTGAAAGTATGGGATCATAGCCTACAGTTTGCTGGGCTTGGGCTACTAGCCCAGGCTTGAGGGTTCAAGGGCGCTTCAGTATTGAGGTAAACAGGCCAAGAGCGCGGCTTGCTGTGCATGATGCCTGGCAGGTTCCAGTGCTGTCCTAGACCACCCAAAGTAGGTAAAATAATGGCCCAATACCTATAAAAGGCTATTATTCGACATACTTTGGGGGTCCAGGGTATATCTAACATGCCTAAGAAAGATCGAAAGGCGGCAGATGTATCGGGTTGTGCACCGCTTACGCATGTCAGCAGTGCCAGCTGAGGGTGGAGCAAATGTTTGGGGTCTAACCTCCCGGACCCACCCGCGGCACTGACATGAAGCGTTTATGGCTGCCTGATATAATGAACATAGATGTAACATAAAAGCAGCTTGAGCTATTTCCGGGATCATTCCTTAGAGCTCTTTTAATAATTTTACGGCAATATATATATATATATATATATATATATATATATATTTATATATATATATATACATACACATATACATATACATATGTATATATATATATATATATATATACGTGCATATGTATGTATGTATGTATGTATGTATGTGTATATATATATATATATACTTAATTATTTATGTCTGTGTATGTATATATACATAATATTTTTATGCGTATGTATATGTATATGTTTATGTTTATGTATATGTTTATGTATTGGTATATATATATATATATATGTACACACATACATACATGCATGCATACATACATACGTTTATACATACATAGATGGATACAGCCTGCGCTCCATCAGCACGAGGTTTTGTCCCGATGGCGCTCTCGCCTGGGAGATTCTACAAGAGATTGTTGCTTGGCGCTCAGCCCTGAAAAAAAGGGGCATAGGGGGATTTTTTCATTTATGTTAAATTGAGGCCGCCAGATAAGGCTTTCAACTTGGTGGCTCTGCACTTTTTCAGGCTTCATGAGCCGCGGTTGGATTCAGAGATTTGCTGGAAGCAGTCATGCGGAAACTCGATTCTGGCAGCTTCAGCACGTAGCCGCATCGGTCATGCGGCCCGGTGACCTCGTCGTGTCCACCTTTCTCCCCGAACATGACTGAACTGGGTGGAGGAAGAAGGCTTCACATGTCTTTTGCCAAGATCTGATACCCAAATGGTAGCTTGGAAATCTTTGCCTTCAACATACTTAGAAAGCCCTGAACCGTCCAAAACCCATTGAAGCACCCAGCAATACCCACATATTTGAGACCCAGTGCAACCCTGCGGGTCCAAGTGCCCAAATAACGGAGCTTTAGGTAACATGGGGGGCGTGAATAAGTACCCATACCAATACTATTCCAAGCATTGACCATGCAGGCTCATATCCCTGACCGTGAGCCAGGAGTTGTAGCGTAAGGCGGCCCAAAGATCTTATGATACATGTTATACATAAGATACTATCGCACACTATAACTATGAATCGTTAAAATATACTGTAATGCACTGGACTGCACTAAAAACCTAGTCTCAGCTCTTGAAGGTTTGTTGCTTTCGGTCTGAAAGAGTCTGCAGCAGCCACAACAGCCTGAAAGCATATACCCCAACCCCGGATCAACACCTTTTCCGATTGTTTACTATAGGGGCCTGAATAATTGCCTACACACTATTTTTTGGGTGGGAGCCTTGTTAATTGTCGTTTTTGAGCCCAAAAACTTCAGTCTAAGCATTAAGGCCCCAAAAGTACCTAGGTTTTCCTAAACCCCAAACCGCCAAACTTCCGAACTAAAGCACCGTGCAGGAGTCGGGCGAGCGACCCAGTGTCGAGGCTTACGACATCGTTATCGAGGCAGCGCTCGTACCTTGCGTGGGTTTGGATGTCGGGGATGAGCGCTTCGGATGAGGGTTGGCATTCCTAGGGTTTAGGGCTTAGGGCTTAAGGTTCAGGGTTTGGGGTTTAGGGCTTAGGGTTTAGGGTTTAGCGTTTAGGGTTTAGGGTTTAGGGTTTAGTTCGTTTGGGTTTTGGGCTTTAGCGAAGGGGTGAGGATCTAGCAGCGAAGGGTCTCATGTTTCCTGAATCTTGCACCATGGACCCCTCCACAGAGTAGCTTCCCCTACTCACATGGAGCCGACCTCTCAAAAGTTCTGCTGTTTTCACGATCCGCTTTTCCGGTTGCGCATGGTTTACCATCAACCGTCAAAGTGAACCCACCCGAACCTCCAACCCCGAGCTCTATCTTTATGTTGGTAAACACGCAAGCCCAAATCCCCGAAACACCAACTCTGCCTAAGTCCTAAACTTTGAACCTCAACCCATAAACCTCAAACCACAAACCGTAAAGCTTAAACTTCACTCCCCGAACCCTAAACCGTAATCCTAAACCTAAAACACCGAACCCTAGACTTTTGAAACCGTAATCCTCAAGCCCCCCCGAAACAGCAGGCCTTTGCCCGGCACGGTGCTACAGACGATGCCTTGGCTGTATTCAAGGCTGAGGGTCCATGTAATGTAGGGACCTTACCAGTCCTCTAAGAGGAGCCCTTTAAACGAACCCTATTCCGCTCCCAAACTACATAGTAGAATGTAGGGTTTCTATATTAGGATTTATTTCGGGACGCATTCCTCATGACAGTACCGAGGACCTTTGGGTAATGATTGCAATAGGGTTTTGGGGTATACTATAATTTATAAATGTTTAAAGGAACCCTCACGTAGAATAGTGGCCTTGTCCAGGCTGCGACTGCTACACTACCTATGTACTATATGGCTGATATGTAGGTGTATGGGGTATGAGGGTTTAAATGGGCTATTTGGCCTGTGAGGGCTTTCTTAATTACCTTGGGGACTTGAAGCGTACATTATGTACCATATATGTGCTTGAACCCTAAAGTGTATTTCTTGCCGTAGATTTCCAATTCAAGCATCTCGAGTCTTTCTGAGTTACCAGGACTAGAACTAGTAATTATATCCATTGGGTTCCTTCCGTCGGTGTGGCGAAGACTTTGGCATGGTACGTAGCTGACGTCCAGAATCAGGCCACGTTCCACAGCCCAGCGTGAGCCGCATTAGCCGGGGAAGTTGAGTTCAATCGATAATCCAGCACTGGGACATTGTCGAAATACAACCTGAAACCCTCACCCAACCGTAGAGAAATCCAAGCACCTTCAACTGCCTTGCAGGCCGTGAAGGAAGCCGGTCTACAGCCAACAGATCAGAGTCCGGCGCCCACAAGATCTCAAGGCCAAAATACAACCATCGGGTTCTGTAAGAAACGTTGTGTGAGGCCTTTATGGGGCTGTGAATATTGGCTTTGTAGTCTGTAGTGTAGACCCCTGGTTCATGAATACCCAGCAGTTTACATGAGTGTAGACCCCCAGTGCTAGATGTGGCTCGCTGTCAGATACAGAGTTGGGTTTCGGGCATAGACCATCCTTGTGAGGGAACAGTACACTCTAATTCCAGGAGTTCACCTGAAGCCCGGACGGCCTACATGTTGAGGGCTCTTTGGTAATGGATGATGTCTTATATCTATGACCTTATAAGGATTAGCCATTCGCATACCCGCAGAAAAAACCTGAAATGCTTAAGCCCGAAGAGTGTAGGGTAGAGGTTTTCGGAGCCTAAATCTAATCAGTACACCCGAAGTTCTAATACAGATACTTGTGCGACCGCTGACCTGGCCTTTACGGGCTTCAAAAGGTGGGACGAAGCTCGCCCCAAAGCAAGGCAGTTTTGGGCTACCTTGAGAGTAGGGGGTATGTGATACACACGCCCAGGATGTAGGATGATATGTTCTATGTACATTGATATGTATGAAGGCATATATAGTAATGTGTGGACACGCACATACATTTGTGTTCCCGTATTTACTTGCATGCCACGTGTAACAAGCCCGTCAGCTGAGGTTACGACTGGCTCGCGACGCCTGCATCCAGAAGTGCCAGCCCAAGCCCGCCCTGCAGCTTAGCAAAGCCCATCCTGTCTAGCATGCCTGGTACTCACAGACAGATGCCAATGTCGGGTAGATAAGCTAGTCAGTATAGAAATCTCACACATTGTCCTACGCCGTAGTTGTTCTGTTTCATAAGGCCGACGGATGTTGTTATTGTCTACAAGTCTCTGGAGCCATAGTGATGGCGGTGTCGGTGGTTGTTCTATGAGCCAGAAAGAAGCCTTTAAACCCTGCAAAGGCCTGCGGCCTAAAGCCATCAACTGGAAGCTTGCGCATCAGGTGGTGAGTACAGGTTCGTCGAGATGCTATTCGCTGCCAAGGCTCTCAGAGCTTCGTTCCTGCAGGGTGGTTTGGCGTTTTGTTTCGCGATTCGGGATTAGAGTTGATAAGACATGTGGGAGTTTCCGAAAATTAGGGGTACCCTATTTTGGGGGGGTCCTTGTAGTAAGGATCCTATTTGCACAAGAATAGCCAAGAGCAGGCGAAGTTGCATCCGAAGCATCGAGAGTTGTTCGGGTTCAGGGCTCAGGGCGTATTCGTGCCTAGATTATCATACAGAGGGAAGGATGGGAGAGGGGAAAGGGAGGGGGAGAGGGGGAGGGAAAGTAGTAGTAGTGGTGGTGGTGGGGGGAATGAGGGGAAGGGAACCGAAAGGAGGGGAGGGGTGGGAGGGGAGACAGATTGTCCAAACACATCTGGGGAGGGGAGGGGGAGAGGGGAAGGAGGGCATGGGGGAAGGGAGGAGGAGGGGGAGGGGAGGGGAGGGGAGTAGGCTTCCCAAAGAGCTCTACAAGGCTATGTTGGGACCCTGCCAGGAAGCTTCTTGGAGGTGCATCAGCTTTCCCGACACGATCCTGGATGCGGCTTTGCAAGCCAACGAGTACCTGCAGTTCGTTCCATGTTTCTCACTGATAGAACAAGATACACCGACAAAGCTACTTGAAGATAGTTCTCAAACTGTAGCATGAGCTAGATGGACATGCCACGGCATTGGATCTCCAATTGGCCCCACGCCCTTCCATCCCAAAACACGCACTAAAACCTAGACCGCCGGAAAGCCTCAAAGCGCACGTTCCTCATGCCAAACCATGGACCCTGATTCTAGAGCCCAACATCTCAATACCTGAACCGGAGTACTATCTTGGAGGTTCCGCATTATGATTAATGTCTTCGGGCCCCAAAACCCTATTCTATTTTTTGAGGCTCTTCTAGTACAGAACCCTACTAAAGATACCTTTTTAATAAGGATCCCTTCAAAAGGAACCTTGTTCCAATTATCAAGGCCCCTTTAATACCTGAACCGGAGGCGAGCACGAAGGCCGATGGGCAGATAGGGTCGCGCGCCCTCAAGCTGCTTCTCGATGTCCGGATCTTAGGGGGTTCTAGGGTGTTTCTAGGGTGTCTAGGGTTTGGGTCATAGGGTCTAGGGTTTAGGGCTTTTAGGGTTTCTAGGATCTAGGGTTAGGGTTCAGGGGCTTTTAGGGTTTCGGTTTTAGGGTTGAGGGTATAGGGTTTACGATCTTACGGCAGTTTTGAGGTTTCAGGTTCGGGGTTTCGAATTTTGGAGCTTCGGGTTGCTGACTTGGCGATATTTTTGTCAGATTCTGAGACTCGGAGATCGAATGGATTAGCCAAAGGGTCCAAGTAATGGTATAGTATATACTTTTGGGGCCAAAATACCTATCGGTATAGTATATACTACTGCCTTTATGTTTTTTGTTCTCGTTGCGTGGACCCAGGAAGCCAGTGAGTGAGTGAACCCCGGTGCCCGCAACGACAGCAACAAAAAGAAGCGCCCCGCAACGACAGCAAAAAAGCAACGACAGCAAACACACAAACACGGGGCGCGTTTTTTTTGGCTGTCGTTGCGGGGGCGCGTTTTGTTTTTGCTGTCGTCCCTGGGGAGGCGCCTTTTTTTGCACCCAGGGACGACAGCAAAAAACAACTCGCCCCCCCCCCCCCCCGTCCGGACGACAGCAAAGAAAAAAACCGCGCCCGCGCAACGACAGCAAAAAAAGAAACGCGCCCCGAAACGACAGCAAAAAAGCAACGACGGTAAACAAAGACACTCTTGCCGTATATACTTTTGGGGCCAAAATACCTACCATAGTGGTTCTTGGACCCTGTGGATTGGAGGTTGATGATCTGCGGTGCAACTAAGGTTCAAAACTGTGCTTCAGAGGGTTTAGGGCCCAGGCATAAGAGTGCTGGGCTGTCTGAGTATGTAGTGAGTGAGGCAACAACGCCGGACCTGGGTCTCTGTTTCCCTATGGTAAATCTTATGGAATCCTTGTATTCCTGGGTTCCCCCAAAATATGCCGAATAGCTACGGTAAACCTTATGGAATCCTTGTATTCCTGGGTGCCCCGAATATGTGGAATAACGGCATCTTATGGTTGTGGGGCCGTTGTTTTACACACTTTTGGGGCCTGGGTATCCCTCGATCATGAAAGTACCCAGGATGCATGCGTCAAAGCCCTGCTCGAAGTGAACCAAACCTAAGACAGCCAATCCACCCGTTTCAGCAGCAGTGGGAGCAGCCATCACCGTTGAGGTGGTGGTTGTGGCGGTGGCAGTATTATACTACTACTGACAGTAGCCGTGGTACCTGCAACAGCAGCAGGTGTTGTCCTCGTCGTTGTGGGCATCATTGCGGTGATAGTGGTGTTGCCTTCAGCCGTGTTCGTGGTCGTGGTCGTATCAGTTGTTGTTGTGGTTCGTAGTGGCTCTCGCAGTTGTATAGTCGTCATCGTAGAAAGCAGTGGTATCACTGTACCAACTGCGATACTGCAGCAGGGCCTCACGGCTGCACATCACGGTTCTGTATTCCTAAGAATCCATGTATGCCTTTAGTAAATGTTCTGGAAAGTGGCTACATCAGGACCATTTTTAGGCAAAGTATGTACTACATGAGTACATAGATCTTGAAAGTATCCGAGTCTGTCGGTTGCATGATTTTGGCTGATCGAGTATAAGCTACTCTGGTGCCCTTGCCTAATGTATACAACTCAGGCGTACGCGAATGGCCTCCCGCGGCAAGCCAACAAGGCACACATGGTGCTTGTTCAGTGCAACCTACCCTTCCCAACGGTTCAGGTGTAGGGTAAACACACTCGTGTTCCTAATGATACCTCCTGCACAAGGACCTTTCGAACAATCGCCATCAGCGGCTTTCTGGTTTAGTGGTTAAAACTAATACACTATTCTCGGCTCCAGCCCTAAGGACTACTAAAAGCTGAGGGTTGGGTTTCGGATTGTTATGGGGCTTAGGATTTGATTCGGGAGCAGGCTACTTACTCTTGCTAGAAGCTTTTGTTCACAGATTTCCCGCGCCAGAACGTTTGTTTAATCAAGTGGTGTCAACCGACCAGGCTACTAGTATTATTATTACCATTACTGTTCCTATTACTTTTAACATTTTCCGAATTCTGAAAATTAATACTAATAATGAAGTAGTAGTAGTAGTAGTAGTAGTAGTAGTAGTAGTAGTCGTCGTCGTCGTCGTAGTAGTAGGAGCAATAATACCAACCATCCTCATGACGTCCAAACCCAAAGCCACCAGCCGAATCCTCTGCTCCACCAGGGATACTAGCAGGCAACAAGAGCAGTCTCCCCATCCACTCCAGTTGAAGCATACTGCACCATACCCCCAAGCCCTCTTCTTCTCATGGAGGCCCCTACATGAGGGGTTTGGGGTTTGGGAGTCAGGGTTGGTGTTCTCATAACCATAAGTAACTAAACCCGAAACTCTAAGCCCTAAAGCCTTTGCCCACAAACCAAATCCCAAAACACCAAACCCAGAGCCTAAGCTTCATGAGGCACAGTCCGCTTTTCGGGGGGCCATGGTCGGGGCTCTCAGTCGCCGATTGCAACGAATACAGTGTAGATAGTGTTCTTTGAGACCCCTTAAAGGGTACCCCTTCTGAACCCTACTTTTGGCTCTCTTAAAAGGGACCTTCTTGAGAGGGTCCTTATCCCCAAGGGTCCCGCTAATCCTAACTCCCACAGTGAACCACCGAAACTTCGAACATTGATAAACTGTCTGGTGCTTAGTCGGAATGGGGGAATGGATCCCTATAGTAGTCCCTATATAATCCCCAATACGTTTAACTGTGGAATACCCTATTCTAACAATTAAGGCCCCTACATATTCTTGGACTCCGTACAGTTGACAGAAGCTGGACCTTTATCGGGTTTTTGCAGGGATCATCGCAAGCGGTTTTGTGCACCCTGAAGGGTTGTGGTCCTCCTCGGCGCTAGAGACCCGAAAGCTGCGTAAGGCAGGCCGGGGAGGAAGGACCCCCCCCTAAACCATAAACCCCTAAACTCTAAATCCCTAAACCCCAAACCCCTAAACCCTAAACCCTAAACCCCTAAACCCTAAACCCCTAAACCCTAAACCCCTAAACCCTAAACCCCCAGACCCTAAACTCCGTAGTGCTGGGATCGTGCTGCGACATGTCAGAGTTACTTGGGTTTTGCGGTACGTTAGATTGCGGTTGCAATGGGGACTATGTGGGGATGATACTACTCATTATCTTGACCATAGACTCCAGACCCTTCCCCAAAACCGCCGTAGAAAGCACGCTCAAAGAGCATATGGGAGTTTTCCGAAAATTAGGGGTACCTTATTTGGGGGTCCTTGTGATAAGGATCCTACTATTGGAAAACTCCCATAAAGTAAAAGCCAGAAAGTTGGAATATGATTATCCTAAACCCTTTATGGTAAATTTTAAGGTATCCTACCCTGAAACCATATTCCAACTTTCTGGAGTTCCTGGTATTGTGCTTAAAATGACCTCGGCATCGCATCCCTGAAGCCTCGCATCCGGTTCGCTGGAGGCGGCTGCGGAGGCGGCGAATCAGAAGCCCTCAGATGCAGCTTCAGGTCCAGACCGTTTTTTTCTTGGGTTTCACTTTACCTAGACCCCCCAAAGTAGGTAAAATCATGGCCCAAAACCTATAAAATGCTATTATTCTACATACTTTTGGGGTCCAGGTATGAGTTTGGGTGTCTAGGTAGGGCTTTTGGGACATTTCATATTTGCTCTTATTGGGCTTAGGAGGATCTTACCTACTAATATTCTTCAAAGGCTCTAAAAGCACCATCCTCTGGTTTTACACGGTTCTGTACGTCGGAGGCTCAGAAATAAAATGTACCCTTGATTATGTGCATGACGTGTATATAGACGGGCAGCTAGCTATCACTCCCGGGAGCAATCTCGTTTGCACCTATAAGCTCCTCTACCTATAGTCTCCATTGTAGTTCCTTTTTTTGGTTAACCAGTTTTATGGTTAGGAACCTAAAAATAGAGATCTTGGTTAACCAAAAAAAGGAACTACAATGGAGACTATAGGTAAGGTACCTTCCCATTCAGAGTGCTTTTTTGGGGACCTTGTGTTGCCTCCACAGGTTCCACCGCGGTTCTGGAAGTGGGGTCCTTACCCATAGGCCCCATAGTAGTTCCTTTTTGGGATTGCCTTATGGGATTCTCAATATGAGCCTTAAGAAGGAACGATTATGGGCCCATGGGTGTACAGATTTTGATTCTGCATGCGCGGTGAGCTCTCAGTCTGGCAAAATGACATATGAGCATTTCGGAAAACTGGGGTTCCTCGTTTAGGGCCTTGCCTGCGCCTACATTTTTTTTTATCAGGGTACCCTATCTTTTTCAGCTCACAATTTTCGTTGAACACGACTTTCATCGTATGGATTGCATGGACCGGCTTTTTGCTTTTACGTGAAGGGCTTAGGGCCAACATTTGGTTAACTTTGATCTCATGCAACACGCAACTCCATCAAACCCAAGGCTTCACTTCTACCCAGCCTACCTTAAGTGTCCAAGATGCCGTATCTATACTACTTCTTGGTCCAAAACCCAACTTTTCAACTTTAGGGCCCTTATGAGGTAGTTTTATTATGAAAGTTTGAGCTTTTAAGTCCTGGGTTTTTTGGGAAGTAAGACTATGGCAACTTAACCCCGTGCAGCCGTACAGCCCTACCCGGGGATCAGACTCTTACTGCAGGCTTGACCCTAAACTCCAAACCCGAAACCTTGCACCCACAACCCCGACCCCAGAACTCAAAACCCGAAACTTTACGCTCAAATTCCGAAACCCTAAGCTTCTAAAGCCCAAGCCCCAAACCCCCTTAACTCCCAACTCGAGATGCTAAACGCGAAACCCTAAGCTTCAAAGCTGACCAGGAGAGGTTTTAAAGGCACTTCGAAGGGCCGTCGGCTCCGAGCTCAGCGGTTCGCGCACTGCTACCATCTTCACTTAGGGGTACTTAGAAATATTTTTTGATTTTTGGTTATTATAATCCCTAAGAAACAGCTAAAATTGTAATTTTTGCTAGGGTTCTATGTTCAGTATAGTTCAGTACGTACCCCAAATACCCACTGTGAAGGACTGTCAGGGCTGAATGAAAGGGCACTGGGGGGTCCTGGTAGGGTTCAGGGTTTAGGGGAGGGTGTGTTGTGCCGTTTTGTGTTGCATCAGATTTCATTCGCGCTCTTTGGGCTGTTGGACTTTGCAGTCTGTTTTGCGGTTTTGCCTTTCGTTCGGAGTTTATGATCTTCGTGGTTCGGATTTCGGAGTCATGTTCATCAGGGGCTTCAAGTCAATATTTGTCCCGCCCGACACTGTAGGGGCCTTCATGGTTGCAATGGGGTTTGGGGGTATGTTATACCACAGATTGTGAGAAGGAGCCCCCAAACAAAACGCTATTCTAATTATGATAGTATACCCCCAAACCCTTTTCTCTAGATCTATGCTGGGGGTCTTATAGCCTCAGCCGCCGATGCAATGGACACCAGCGCCGAATCTGCCTCGGACGCAGCTTTCCGAAAAATGTGGAGTCCATCTGGCAAGTGCGGCGCCAGCCCGCATTGTGAGTGGCGACTGGAGGAGATCACAGCAGTCGGCGCGATGTCTGGCTCCCCAATGATGTGTCACACGCTGTATAGGAATCTTGTCATCGTCGGAACCACGGAGATCATGCTGACGCGATGAGAATGGTGGTGTCTGCAGACACCTTTGCAACACAAGAGAGCACGTGTGGCGTCATAGATCAAAACATCTGTACACACAAAAACACATATCTTCGCCTGTCCGACAAACTGAAGGAGGCCCAGGCCTCAAAAATAACAAAGCACGAACACCAAACTAACAAAAAGCACTTATTAGGACCTTAATCCTAAAGCCTAACCCCTGAATGCGTTCATAAGCACAGTTAATACGGAACGAAAACGGTGCACGCCGAAGACAGAGACAGAACCCTGAACACAAAGCCGAAACCTGACTTCCGAAATCCTGAACAGTGCACCTGAAAACAATCCCTAAAACCCCAAACCAAAACGAATGCCTATCCCTTACGCAAGACTCTACAGGAACCCTTATAGAGGAACCCTGCAGTGTTTGGTTTAAGGGACCCTACTATTTTTTGGGGGGCACCCGAAGATCGATCAAGAAATCCAGGTCCGACCGTCTTCCGAGAACTTCAAGCCGAGCGTGAACCTTAGTTTTAGGGTTTAGGGTCTAGTTTAGGGTTCGTAGGTTTAAGGTTCAGTTTGGGGTTCATAGGTTTTTAGGGTTTAGGCCTTAGAATCAGAGTTTAGAGGGGGGTGCAGGGTTTCTAGTTTATAATTACAGGGTTCTATCAGTGAGTACTTTGAGATGAAGCAATATTCAGGATTCCAATGCTTCGAGTGTTTTTTCGGATTGTCGGAGTTCATATACTACCGTTTTATTCAGGTCTGGATACTCGCTAATTACGATGCCTTTTGTAGTCCGGCTTGGTCGCTACGATGGAAACACCTAAGCCGAGTTCTGTTTACTAAGAGCCTTCGGGTTCATGATTTGCATGGAGGTGCAAGGTTTACCTAGACCTCCTGAGGCATACTAGACCCTAAACCCCAAGTCCCTAAACCCTCTGTAAATCCCAAACCCTAAACCTCAGAAATCGAGAACGAAGTCGGAGTCGTGATGCAGTCTGAAGAACAACAGTGTGATGGTCGGTGTGTATGTCTTCTGAGGCCTTCGGCCCGTAGTGCATGCTCTTACCTGAGCAAGCTCTTGACTTTACGCTGTGGAGAAAGGGGCTACTGCACTTCAAAAAAAAAAAACCTTATATACCCGCAGAAGAGCCCATACGCCCAAGCCTTCAGGGCTGCCGGGTTTAATGTATAGGGGGCTTAATTAGAAGGGTTTTTGGGGGCTCCTTATTGTAATTCTAGTATATTGAAAATGCCCCCAAACCCTGTTCTAACTAGCAAGGCCCCGATTTTCGGCTTCCTTTCAAGTCAGTCCTCGACTTTGTTCCTGTCCCCAAAGAATGCCGAACACCGAAAGGGCCGTGTGGTCTCAAAGTCGAACTTGAAGCCTGAACACCTCAGTCGAGGGGGTTGGGGATTGTGACGCGATCCAAGGCTTTTGGCGTTTCGCCTTGGGGTTAGACAAACAGGACAACCCTGTTCGGGTAGGTGTTGTTCGTCTGCCTCGATACTTGCTCCTTCTAAAAAAAATCTCTCAACAGATCTCCAAAGCCTAAACCCTAAACCTTAAACTCTCATCAGATCTCCAGAACTGTTCTTCGAATGCGACCCTGTAATATACGGGATGCGACGCCGCATCGCCTGGATGCCTCGGAAGACCCGTCATGGTTTCTGGGACTTACCTTCATAGTGGTGGTGTATGGAACCCTCAACCCGAAACCTCAAGAAGGAAAGCAGGAAAGATCTTGGTTTCGGTTTGTTTGGAGTTAGGGAGCCGCTCTAAACCCACAATTCCCTGCTCACTAAACCCACGAAACGAACAAAACACATAGTACACCTCAAAGCGAGATCCTTGAAGCCTTACCGATGGTCTCCATTGTAGTCCCTTTTTTGGGGGCTACCTTCTAGGATCCTAGTTATATACTTGGTTAAGCCAGACAAGGGAACTGCAATGGAGACTGTAGGTAACCAGAGACTAAAGGCTCAGCCCTAAACCGTAAAATTTGAACTACTACAGGGGCTTAAATAATTACCAATACTATTTTGGTGGTTCCTTTTACTAATTATAGTATATTGGCCCCCAAATCCTTATTCTAATTTTTCAGGCCGCCTGTTTAGAGACTCCATGAACATGAGCAGGTATGGCCTGGAGCTCGATGAAATCGCCTGACCGGAGCCTGTGAAGTAGCTTTGCGTTGTCGGTTTAGGGTTAGTCGTTGGGAGGAGGACGCTGTGATAAAACACATAGGTTCCCACAGCGTCATCTTCTGTAGTCGTTCAGGGTTCGGAGGTTTGGAGTTTCGGGAGGGGGTTTACGGTCCAGGTGGAAGCTGGCAAGACGGCTGTTGGTTACTCCGAAAGGAGGGTGTAGTGCTTAGTGCTCTTTTTTCCTAGGTACCATGGTTAAGACCATCGTATTTACATGCTTATACATATAATTACATACATGTATATGCACATTAATTAATAAAAGTGAGCATCTACAAGCCCACAAGCATACGTATATTGCCAGTGTATGTATCTCTGAAAGAGCACTAAGGTATAGTGCCCGGTAATAGTGCCCGGAGCGTTTCAGTTTCGCGCGCGAGTCGATGAAAAGAGACTTGCATCAAACGGCTTAGAGGAACTCCGATGACATCCTGAGTATTAGGGTCTGCAGGCTTCCGAGAAGAGTAACAGGTTCTAATGCTTGCTACCTGCCTACCTACTTACAGTATTTTACATTGCATTACGGTACATTTGCTTCATGTTGCACTGCATTCACATCCATACATACACACATCCCTACATCCATAAATGCATGTAGAATGCATCTATACGCAAACACATGCATACATGCATATACAGAGAGGCAGAGAGATATACAGACAGACAGACAGACGCAGACACGGACACACACACACACACACACTCTCTCTCTCTCTCTCTCTCTCTCTCTCTCTCTCACATACGTGCTTGCATACAGACATGCATGCATACAAACGTACACGAACCGACACATGTATGTTTAACCAGGAGATGAGAGCATACCAACTTTAGTGATTGAAAGTTACTTTGTTCACCCTAGTTGTGTTGGCGCTTGAGGCCAGAGAATCCCTCGATTGAACATGCCGTTGCCCAGCATCCGGATTGTTAAACATGGGACGTGATCACAGCCGTTTCGTGGCTCCCATATTCACGAGCTTTGTCAGTCTTATGCCTGCGTGTTCGAAAGGAGACACTCTGTTGTATCTGTTCCTTTGGGGCAGCTAGGGTGGCTTCGTAGATGTTGGTTCGGTTGTCGGAGCCTGCAGGGTTGGGGATGAGGGTGCAGGGTTGGGGATGAGGGTTTTGATACTCGGGGCATGGTGCAAGCATAGGTTGGATAGATGCTTTAGGTTTTAGACATCTTGGCGGGACAGGCAAGCTTAAACGAAAAAGCAAAACTAAAAGACTTGTTTATGCGCTTGCTTGCCGTGGTACAGCATGGCAGAGTCAGAGATTTCCTTGATCAGCCGCTTTGTCCAAGACAGCATTGCTTGGGGTTTAGGGCTTAGGTGTTTTTAGGATTTACAATCATGGTGAGGATTGAGAGTTTCGGCACCACATTACGTTCGCTGACCCTAAATTTGAAGCGACATAGGGAGCCCGTGGAAGAGTCTTGTAATGTTGTCAGGGTTATGCATTAACTCATATCAAGAGCCTGATTCAATGTTCATTTCGGGAAACAGTCATTGCAAAAAGCGCTATTCATGCTGCTTTATTCATGCTGCTTCGGGACCATGATTTTCGGGGCATGAAGCCAAAATTGGGTGTTTCAGCTCGGTACTGTTGTATCACACGTATATCCCCATTGGCCAAGAATGCCGGGAAGCCGCGCATGGTTAGTTCAACATCTGAAGTCTGTGTTGAACTCTCGAAAACATCAGCGCCTCTACCTGAGGTCAGGCTGTCGCCATTTCAATCACAATCGCCTTGTTCGTCCGGGCCTTGGGCTGGGGCTTTGTTTTGTTTTGCAAGCGCTAGTTTACAAATCCTCTGCTTGACTCAGGATACTGAAGTAGTATAGAATCCTGAGTCGTGCAATCCTGAAAAATTGCCATTCTTACTCCATGGCTGCTCAACATACTTCTAGTATAGCTAGAACAACCCAATGCACATTGATTTCAATCTTACTTCCTGAAAAGCTTGCATTTCCGTTTCTTTGTGAGTGTCCATCTACTGCTGCACTTCTTTCTTCGCACTGGTTGATCGTTGATACTCGTAGCTTGTATGTACTCTTTCCTCAGCTTGAAGGTGCAAGCCCTGCAAGTGCCCACGCGCGACAGCATACAATTGCCACCAGAAGACCTTCCCAGAGGGTCCTAGGTACTGTTATGCCCCCCCCGCCCCCCCTAATAAAATCGTAGTTCCTAATGTCGAAACCTCACATTCTAGAAGTATAGGTACTTAGGACACTTTCAGACCTTAATTCCCTTCAGACCGAAACACTTTACCCAACATTAAACCATGAAACCCGGTAACCCCCAAACCCTAAACCCCTAAACCTGAAACCCCTATACCCTGAAACTCCCAAAGCCCAACTAAACCCTAATGCTTTTGTAAGGTGGGTATCTGGGCTATTCTCAGATCCCGGGGTGCGAGGTGCCCTTGGCAGGGTTTAGGGTTTAGAGAGTCTCTTAGGATATAATTAGAATAGGGTTTTGGGGCGGATCGGACATACGTCTGAAGCGAACAAAGCTTTAGAATAGGGTTCTGGGGCGGCTCGGACATACGTCTGAAGCGAACAAAGCTTCTAGGTGTTGCTTTCGGACATTTTTTATTTTTGTTTTTTTTTGCCCGGCCTTGGTTCAAGTCCCTACAGTAGTATTATAAGCATCAGTAGTAGTTGCAGTATAGCAGGAAGAAGCAACAAGTCGTCGTAGATTAGTACTGCGAGATTGGTCGTAGTTGTAGTAGTTGTTGTTGTTATTATTATTCAGACGCTGTCTATTGGGGCTCAAGGTCTCAGGGTTTGGGGTTTAGGGGGCTTTTGGTTGAGGGTTCACGGTTTAGGGTTCAGGGTTCAGGGTTTAAGAGGTTTTTCAATTTAGGGTCTAAGTACACTAACTAAAGTACTGTTGTGATTGAGTTGGGGGAGATTCTGATACTCTATGTAATTATAATCGTAGTAGTAGTAGTTGTTGTTATTGTTATTATTCAGATTTCAGACCCTGTCTATTGGGGCTCAAGGTCTTAGGGTTTGGTGTTTAGGGGGCTTTTGGTTGAGGGTTCACGGTTTAGGGTACAGGGTTCAGGGTTTAAGGATCCGGCTAGCCCCAAGCCCAGTAGCAAAAAAGAAGGGTTTAAGGGGTTTTCAATTAGGGTTTAGGTTTTAGGGTTTCAGGGGTTTAGGGTTCAGGCATTATAGGTAGGACCCCTTTGAAGGCTTAAGTATTGGGATTTAGTTCTAGTAGCAAGGTTTAGGGCTTGTAGAACTTAAAGCCCGAAATCCTAAACCCCCCATTCAAGCCTGATTCAACGAACCCGTAAAGAAGCCCTGTACTTGTGTACTTAGACCCTTAAATTGAAAAACCCCTTAAAGCTTGAACCCTAAACTGTGAACCCTCAACCAAAAGCCCCCTAAACCCCAAACCCTAAGACCTTGAGCTCTCCTAACATGTGGTGCGCCGCTGGGCGCGCGCTGGGCACCGTCGACAACATCGAGGTGCCCGCGGGGAGAGTTGGGGGGTTTTAAATAATAATTAATTCTAAATAATAAAAGGCTTTGAGGCTGTAGTAAGGGTTTTATATAAGGTTTGGATCTTAGGGTCTTAGAACAGTTCATGTGGTTTAGAGTTTTTCACTTAGGGAGTTTCGGGTCAAGGGTTGTGTGCATCGGGTGTTGTCGGGTGTTAGACTCGGGTTTGGGGTAGGGGGTTATTTGCGGGAGGTATTTGGGTTTGAGGTGCATGTGCGGTTTCCGTAACATTTCAGCGGTTTCAGCGTCAGCCCTTAGGACCACGTACATGTCATGTTTCCAGTTTAATTATTAGACTTAACTTAGATGTTTTATTTCAGTTCCTAGGTTCATGGGCATAGGCGATGAGCGATACTAGGCCTTAGGCGACTTGCGATGATTTACACTTAAACTTACTTACTTGCACTCACTGTCACAGTCACAGCTTTCTAGGCGATTGCAGGCGCAGGCAGGCGTAGGCGCAGGTAGGCGTAGGCGCAGGTGTAGGCGTAGGTGTAGGCGCAGGTGTAGGCGCAGGTGTAGGCGTAGGCGTAGGCGTAGGCTAGGTGACTCGGTGCTCTAGCCATGCCGCCGGCGTTGCCGAACGTGCCGCCGTCGCCGGCGGGCTCGCTGCTCATCGCCTGGGGGGCAGAGCACGAGTACCGGGCGATCGGTGCCCTGATTGATTTAGTATTTAAGAACGAATCTGGTCAGCTATTTGATTAATGACTAATAATTAATAGTATACAGTCTATAAATTGATTATTAATAGTTCTAGTAATAACAATACTAATGCGGAGACTTGTGCGGATGATAAGCATCATATTGTACTTTTCTAAGCAACAACTACATTCTTATCCTACTACGGTTTTGGCCTTTGGGCGCCAATGCGAAGGCAGTGGCGGAAAGGGCCGGAGCGTGATGCCCGGCCACTTGAAGCACACGTACCCCGGCCACGTGCACATCACGATTGACGTTCGTCAATTCATGGAAGACCCCGACAAAAAGGATAAGCAGGGCAAGGGGTCGGCGTCGGCGTCGGGGAAGGGGTCGGCGTCGGCGTCGGGGTCGGCGCAGGCGCGGGCGAGGTCCCACTCGCCCGGACCTTCTCGCAAGGTCAAGGGAGACTTGGATGTTCAGGTATCAGCTGTTTCTGGTCTTTGGGAATAGGACACTGCATCAGTTCAGTTGAGGGTTCGTGGTTTAAAGTTTAATGGTTACGGATGCCCACCCAGGAATCTGGCACCCGGCGAAGAACGAGGAGTTCCTTTGTGCCATGCTGCAGGAAGCAGGATTCCTTCGGGCGCTGGCGGTGGTGACAGGTATTGCTTTGATGTACATCAGGGCGTTGGTGCTGGAGGCGGACACGGTGGCGCGGGCGCCGTTGCTCTTCCAGCTGATCTGCACCCTGGTTGTGTACAGCCTCATTATTTGTTTCATTTTCTCCGTAGTTGCACGTTGAAGCTCTAAACCTCTAGTCATCTAAGCCTTACATCAGGTGCACAAGGGAAGCACAGATCAGCGACGCTGGCGGTGGTGTTGGCGATCGTCTTCGGCATCCCTTTTGAGTTGCCGAGCCATGAGGTTCGGCAATGGGTTGCTGGCGACCTTGACTTGTCGGCGCAGGCGAAGGGGCTCATCGAAACGGCGGTGGCGAAGGTGGGTTCGGCACTGAACCTGTTGCAGCCGACGGTGCCAAAGGCACCACCGCCTGGTGCAAACGCGCCGGCGACGAAGGCGATGCCAACCAAGCCGAAGGCGCCGGCGAAGGGGGATGGGAAGGGCGACTCCAAGGGCTCGTCTCAGGCGCAGGCGTCGGCGTCTCCTGCTCAGGCGTCGGCGTCTCCTGCTCAGCCGCCGAGTGCGACGGACCAGGCTCGGGGTGTTGTTGTAAAAAGTTGCTGTTGTGGGTTTAGTAATAGGCATAGGTTCGGTTACAATATGTGGGGTAACCCACGTTTGCACTTTGGGCGTCAAGCAGTTCTTAACTAATCACCTTTCCAAGCCTAGGTCTAAGGCCAGTAGTTAAGCTGGAATCCTGGAAGGTGCGCCAAAGTGTCATGGACAGGGCGCCGGCGCTTTACCAAACCCTGCTCGAGCTGGATGTTGATCAGCGGACATGGTCGGTGCCCAGGCTTATGTTATCCGTCCTGATCCCAATAGACTTAGATAAAATAGTTATTAATGGCTTCTAAGTTCTAAAACCTTGGATTCTCCTTAGTAACCCTGAATCACAAGACTAGCTTTGAAAGCCTTTTAGAGGAAACGCCAACTTCTAATGTTATAACTGGTTTATGGATTGGACCTGGGCACCATGAACTTGCCCCCAAACTAAGGTGGCGTCGGCGATGGTGCTCATGGATGGCGGCGTGGCGAAGGCGAGCGAGATTGTCGGCTTTGTCGACAGCAGCTTGGCTGGTATTTGGGCTAGAACAATCCAAACCCCTACACCCCCAGACCTTGAAGCCAATTGGCCCTAAGAATGAAGCTTTAAAGAAAAGACAGCAGGAATCCAAAACAAGCTCTTGTTTCACCCCCCCCCCGGAACCCCTAGTACCCTCGAACCCAAAGCTATTTGGAGTTGTTTCGATGCACTAAGAAAATCGACAGCAAGACACGCAGAAGCCGAACTGGGGCAACATCTCGGCGAACCTCACTCACGCGATGAGTGAGCGCATCGACATCTTGCGTGGGGCGCCGGCGTATTCAGGTGGGAGCAGCTTGACTTAAAGCCTAGAGTTGTTGGGGTGTCTGTGTTGTTTCGTCGGGATTCATGTCTTTCGGGACCAATAACACGATCCCACTGAGGCCAAAGGCGCGGGCGCACGCCGGCACGCGGCAGTGGCGATTGGGATGACCGAAAGGGCAAGAAAGGCGGCTACAAAGGCGACGGCGGACACAAAGGCGACGGCGGCCACTACAAAGGCAAAGGCGACGGCGACGGCGGCCACTACAAAGGCAAAGGCGACGGCGGCGGCGGCTGGTACTACGATTCTGGTCCTGGCTACGGCTGGAAAGGCGGCTGGGACTGGGATTACGATGAGGAGTGGTACGAGAAGGGCTACGACAAGGGGTTCGACAAGGGCTATGGCAAGGGGCGCGGGCGAGGGCGATATGAGGACTACGATGCCGGCCGTCGCAGATTGGACTAACTGAGGGTTTCATCGTCTTTGCTACTTCATAGTATGATGTATCTTCTGTTGAATGATATATTATCAAAATATCTAAGATATAATATATATATATATATATATACATATATATATATATATATATAAGTATACATAGATTAAAATGATTCAGGTACACAGCATTTTGTTATTCATAAATATTTTGTGATAAGTTCTGGGGGTTTTGATGTGTGACCGCAACATATCTGAGGATGGGGGAAGGGCGACTACTGACGGCGCCGGCGCTGGCGATGGGCGTTTTGATCGCAAACGCTGGCGAAGCCCATCGAGCAGCCAGTGAAAAGAGTGCTTCCAGTGTTTGGGTTAGGTCGGAAGCCCAAAATAAAGTAACGGCAAAGCCTTCAATCCTGAATCCCATTTTGAACCTCTAACTTTAATAGTTCTGTCATGTTGTGGGTTTAGGGTTTCGGGTTTAGGGGAGAATTGGGCAGGTGTCGGTTGTAGGGGGCTTGTTGCTTCGGGGATTTAGGTTTGCTTACTAGAGAGGTTTATGCGCTAAATGCATGTTAGACTCAGACTAAACGTCATGTTATACATTCGGATTCGTTATCTTACGCAACGCAAAATTATAGTGGTAACTGTCATGGTCTATGATAGCATACAACAAGCTTGCGCGTTTGGGATTGATAACTTTATGATTTGGCCTCGGGTGTGATCTGATAACAATAATACCAATAGAATGGAAACAATACTTTGCGATTTGTGGTGTACAGTTTTAGAGACAACCAGTAGCA